CTATCATTTATTATATACATACTGAGAAATACTCACCAAAAAGCTATGTCGTAAATTTTCGTACGCAAATTAGTTCTAGCCAATCGAAGGAGCGAACGATGGTTTTCACACGTGAAAAAAATGATACGTCCAATCAGAATCGCGAACGATGTTTTTTCACGTGTGAAAAAAAATGATACGTCCAATCAGAAGCCACAGAGGTGTGTTAGTTTCGCGCCAAAATTCCCGCCTTTTATTGCAGCTTGCAGCGCTGCTTCGCACACATTCAACGAGAAAAGTTTCACTCAAAGAGTTTTTCTTGCTAAAAAAGTGAAAAAACATTTGGGAAATGGAGTGGAATAGTGTCGTTTGTTTCACTGTCGATAAAGAAAACGGTAGAGAGCCGGCGAAACAACAGCGGAAAGGGATAAACAGAACAAGACGTAAGCTTTTGTTGTGCTTTTTGTCGGAGCTACTTTGCCTTTCATTTAAGCTTAAGCTCAGTCATATTGAATCCGGCCGTTTTAGTTAAATTCACTCATTTTGAATTGTGCATTGAGAACAAACAGTTAAGATTACTTATATTTCTTGGATTACCTCATATCCTCACGGTCATTTATGTTTTTAACACACGTTTTCACTAAAAGGCTGATACTTCGTTTTCGTTGTCATTTTGCGGTCAGTGTGTAGCGGCAAATTTTAGCATTTTTGAAAGATTTAAAATAAAAAGGCCGCCAAAATGACGAATGTCTCAGTATGTATGTAATAAACACAATACCACATGGAAAGTGCTTTGTACGGTATTTACGCGCTCGTTGTTTTTGTATCAGAAATCTTACTCGTTCGCTGCGCTCACTCGTTCAATTTCTGATACGTCAACAATTCGTGCGTAAATACCGTACGCCAGCACTTTCCATGAAGTATTCTGTATATCCCTTATACTTATTGAAACAACTCGGGTTCAAAACTTTTCAAATTATTTGTCATGTATTGGTATTTATGATTACAAGAGACCGTTTTACCGATACGGCGGCCTTATTGATTAATTAGATTTAAGGAGTATTATGGGATGCCCAGGGGTGGCATGAGCACGATCCGATAATCTCGCTGAGCATTTACGCGCGCTTTTCGGGCCAATTTTTCTTTAAGTTTTCCTAGAAAAAGATAGTAATGGGAAAAAAAGGTCGTTATGTCGTGTTTGGATGTAATAGTGATCGCCTTTTCCCCGAGAAATATACAGTGAAGTTCTCTTTTTGCCCGAAAGCGCGCGTTAATACTGAGCGTGTGCCCCTGGGCATCCCATAATACTCCTTATAAATTAATCTTATAAATTCAATATGGTCACCGTATCGGTAAAAAAGTCTCTTGGCAGTTTTCAAAAAGAGTAACTAAAGATGTCGTCCTGTTTGTTAAAATTCCGTAAATATTAACGTCTGAAGCTTTTTTTATTACGAAGAATTATCAAAATTGAGAGAAATGTTTTACTGACAAAGGCAAAAAGAATAAGACCGGGATACGTTGATCTTCAGCCCAGATTAGGGTTAAGTTTATTTTTTCGTAAGTTTTCAACTGTTGTTCAGATCTAAGGTTTTAATTTGAAGCAGTGCGGAAAGGCTCTCGATGAATACACCTGCCGCTTTTTCAGTAATCATGGGAAGATGAAGGACTAGGAATGAATGGAAGACGACGTATGTCATTTCCGCTTGCTCGAACAGCTTGCTCCCTTCCATTTATTTGCATGCAAATCCAAAAGGCGAAGCGTCGAGAGTCAAAGGATTACACGTTTTCTTACAGTTGGAATATAGCTCTATTGCACGAGTAAGTTCATTAATTTCTGCGTTTATTTTACACTTCAGAATATTACCAAATTGAATATAAGATTGAGAGGGATATGGCACCTAGGATTGATCGAGTGAAGCGTTGACAAAACTAAATTTTCTTCCATTGAATTTGCGGTTATCATTGCCTCCATCATTAACAGAATTAACTGTTATACATTGTATGCGCATGTTTTACTATAATTTGCGCTTTTTCCTTTTTTTCGTTTTTAACCGTTGCTGCAAGAGGCATCATTTACTTCCAATATTTGTATTGCCCGTTAATTTATAGATGATTTCATAAAATAATGGACGGCCTGAGTCATAAAATTCTGCCGCTTTGTTTTCTCATTGGCAAGAAAAGCACACTTTGCTCGACTTTCATTCTCCAACTATAATGATTCTCTTCTATACGAAATTTGGGAAGAGCGATCGCTTGGAATCACAAATATGATCAAATGAAAGTCATGGGTCACTTCCACAAGACGAACATAAAATATTCACCAGCGCGGTCCCATGCAAAATCGCATTGTGAAAACAAATATTAATTGAATTTCATGCAGAATGGATTTTCTCCTTCTGCTTACACATACAAAGCACCAGAAAATTTTTTGTGTATGATGGGTTTTACTTGTGCTTATATTCGTTTCTTAGTTCTCGAATTTGATTACAACTATTTCTCCCCCAATTTTTTTTATTCCTCGATGGCTACCGCGCAAGCTGGCAAACGAACACTGAAAAACTAAATAAACACTGTTCAAAAGCAAAATTAAAACATAATCAGTGATTCGCAATAATCAGAAACGGGCAAGAAACTTTTGCATGCAATTATTAAAATGTTGTTCATTTGTTCTTAACATATAAGGTTTTAAATTCCTTAAATGTATAATTCTCAACTTTTAATGGGATTTTCTTTCCAACTTGCGTGTTTTTGACACCTTGTTGTTTTTCTCTCAAAAGGATGTCTGTCAAGAAATCTTTACTAACTGTGTACTCTCAGGCCAAGTTTCGTTCGTGCTATTGGAGAGAACTTATCTGTTTCAAGTAGCAAAAATACAGAACTTGGTATAAAAAAAATACACATTCGCTGATTTCACGTGAAGATTTGTTTGGTGTTTACACATTCGTGAAAAATTGAATTTTTTTACAGCTTTTAACATCAGTTAAGTAAGCCATGATTTGTTCCACCAGCACCTAATTCCATTTGACTAGTTTCAAGTGCACAATTCACTCTCAACGGTCCACTAGCCCATATTACCATCCATTGTTTACCCAAATGGAGGAATTCTCTTAAACTTAAAATAGGATTGAAACCATTTTTTATCAATTTCGCCTTTTGGCACAAAACATTACCACATACTAATGAAAACAAAAAAAATTATGACAGTATACTGTTTGGGTAACCTGTGGCCTACTTTCGTAAACATTGTGTCGAGAAGTTCTCGAGTTCTCTTTAACAACAACAACAACAGCACAACAATTATTTGATTTATTTTGGCATATAACTCATTGGTAACCTGCCCCGTATATAGCTTGAAAGCTAGTCGGGGCAAGATGAATACACACACACACAGAATTGTCGAAGAATCCATTAATATTAATATTAACAATAACCGTAACAATAAACTGGCTATAATATACAAATGGCTAAAGACTACGATAACGATAGCATGCCATAAAATGATGAACGAGTCGAGAAAGAAGAATTATTTGGCTAGACATCGAATTTTTTTAATTATGATGAGGATTTGGCAGTATAGTCATATTCGCTAGCGGATATAAACGTGATTTCTTATTAGTTACCTGAATACTTTTATTTTTGTGACTTTCAGTAAGCGCTTAAATAAAGTAACGAGTGGGTAGATTTTCATTTGCCAGTTATTTTACATCGTGTTTTCCGGCCACCTTCAGTAAATTTGCATTTTAACTTTTCATTGAGAACACATGATGAGATAATTTCATGTAGTGGAACAGCGAGAATTTCGTCTTTGAATTCTGAGGTATATAATACATATATATATAAATATAATTATATTTTTCCTGCAATTCCACACGTTTTACACATAACTTAAAAAAACTAACTCTAAGAACACGATATTCATCGTAACATTTCAATTAAAAAATGGCAATTTTTCAAATTTATTGATATTTTTACGCCAAACTTTGATCGTTAAGTTCACCAACGCCACGTTATGAAGACTATAAGATTTTGAGAAGTCTTTTGAATCTCCTTCTTTCAATTTTGTCTTGCATTTCCTTCACAGAATGAGATAGAAATACTCGGCTCACGCGGCGCCGATGATATTTTCAGTTATTTATGTTCCTTCTGCTCTGAACTAGGAACGGTCTTTCTATGTCAGTTAGATGTTAAAGGAAAAAAAATCATTGAAATCATTATTTTCAACAATTCTTTGATCGAATGAGAAGACGAATCTGAAAGTATGGAAACTTGTCTTAGATTTTCGTGTTTTCAAATCAAAGATCAAAAGATGAAATTTCCTCTTAATATATTATCTCCAGTAAAGTATTCAGCGTCTTTAAACGTTACTATTGTCCCTTATTTGTCCTGCTTAAATGTAGTTCGGTATTGTTGAGTCGGCTGACCAATTTTGAAAGGCAACTTACGAGATTTTTAACCAAAAAACAAAACAAAATCACCCTCTTTTGGCTCCCTTATTTTGAATTTCCAAACACCCTGCACTTATGCAAATACGCTTTGAATAATTACTATCTTTATACTGAAATCTTTTGAATGAATTTGTTGTAGTAATTTTAAAAACTGAAAAGCAGGAAAAGGATTGAGCATTTTTCTTGCTAAATCTTATTTCTATTATGATGAATATTTTTTTACAGAGCAATTTCTTCTAAATACTTAGGTTTCCAAAATTCTAAATTTTCCTTTCCTCAGTAAGTTTTTTTTAACCTTCGAAAGACCATAATAAGCTTGTTCACAATATCAGTTAATGTCTTATTCATAAGATTCCTCGTTCTTGTTTGACAGTCGAATAAAAGCGTTCATTAAATATTAACGATTTCGAAGGTTTTTGTACCTCACCGTCTTGAAAATCAGAAACCTTGCATGTAAGTTTTTCTCTAAGCATGAGTAGCAAAGTAGAAGTCTATGTTTTTTTCCTCAATTCTGTTTTCCCTTTAAATTGAATTTCCTTTTAAAATTTTTTGCTCTTTTATTTTGCAGCTGCTGTTGTCAAGTGGTGTTTCGAAGATAAATGCAAATTTCGCCGTGATCGCCAAGAAAAACGAAGGGGTCAGACATTTAAAGGACAAATTCAATCAAAGTTCGCGTTATAAAGAAAAAGGAAGATTAAACCCAAAGTTGAAGTTGCTGATAAAGAAATCGCTCTGGAAGAACTAGCGACAGAACTCAACCGTCACATTACGCGGAAACAAACGAAGGAGAAGAACCGAACGTGGTTTATTTGATTAAATCACCTCAATTTGAAACGAAGGAAGCAGTTCGCTTTGTCAAGATACGAATTCCTGTTGACACTGATTTTAGAATGTGAGTTTCAGTCACGGCCTCCATGCTTCAAAGTCTTGGACAGGCTGTAGGGCCTTAATTTGAAACAGTTCTACGGCGGCCATATTGTTTTGATCAGGCAAGAGAGCATATAGAACTGTGGTTGTTAAGGTAAAAATTCTTTCGGACTAAACCAACTTCAACCATATTTCAGTTGTAAAGGAACTTTTACCAAATTGAAAGAGGGCACCCTAAATACACCTTGAGAAAATTCTAGCAGGATTTGAAAGTGGAATTAATCTGCCAAAACTGCCATAAAAATGTGTTGCTCCTGTCTGTGCAATTGTATCCAGGCATTTCTTTCAAACTGCTGCAAATGTCTCGGAAAATTGGCCATGGCATGCTGTCGTGGTTTATGTCGTTGTTTCTGCAACGCCGTCTCTCCAGGCTGTGGATTCCTTTGTCAGATAATTTTGTACGCCTTTTTTCAAGGTTTCAACATAGGCACCGATGTTGGCGTGTTCATGGAGACAACGGAGACTTACGCGCGCTGTGATGAGTTGTCCACTGCGACTCTAGTCCCGCTGACTAACGAGACGAATTTGACGCGTCCATACTGCGTTGGCACTGAGAACGCCACGCAGGAATTAATAGGCGACAAAGCAGCGACGCTTCAAATCCTTCAGAGTGTCTTCTTCTTCTTTGTGTGTCTATCTGGAGGAATTTACGTGGTCCACATAGCAGTGCTCTTCCCAAATATGTGCAAGCACTGGAAAGACGAAAACTTCGAGAATATAGTACAAGATTCTGCGCCTTATTACCGGAAGATACTCCAAATTCATACGCTGTTCCTGTTGGCCGAAACTCTTGTTCATGATGTGCCCATGTCCTGCCTGGCTGTAGAGCTTTGCGCGCAGATGTGGGGTGCTGGAGGAATCAATTGCTGGGAATGTACCATGACACCAGATGATCTACCCGTTAATCCAATGGGACTGATTAACTGCGAGTTGTGGTTGGGTCTTTTGCTGGGCTCCATAGCTATTGTCAGCATTTACAAGGGTAGGTAGATCAAGGACATTTCATATGTTATATTTAGGTGTGCTGATATGCGGCCTTTTGGGACATCATAGCTGCCCCAGAAACACCTGTCCATTTGCTGATTTTCCTTTGTTTCTGTTTAAACAAATAAATTTATAAATAATTGATTAAATTATTTCGCGATTTGGTTACACAATATGTAAGTTCACAATTAATCTTAATTAGATAAACAGCAAGTTAACCTTTTATAGCAACTGCTTCAACGTCCACTTTAGCTTTTTTTTTGTATGAATTTGCTGTTTTGATGTTAAGAAAGGTCTTTGTCGATTTTAAGTAACTTTTGTTTGGTCTAACGAAAGTGGGGAAAGTGGTATATCAAGGTAATCAAATAAATCTTATTTCGAAAGAGCAGCAATTTCATACATTGTTTCAGGAATACCCAACGAACTTTTTTCGCAAGCATTATATTATCTTTGTAGACTGTCATATTTAGAGCACACGTTTTTTGGTTTCAAATGACAATTAATTTAGAGTCTTTCTTATCATCGTCATTGAAACTATTATTATATTATCATCATCTTACTACTCATGTAATGAAGGAAAGAAAATCAACTGCTTTACGCTAAATTGATATTCTCTCTTGTCTTTGAGTAAAGGTGCGTTTTGTTATTCTTATTTGTTTTTATTATTTTAGTGTTTTCTCTTCTTTAAGAGGTTTAATGACCAGACAGCCACTAGAGCTTTCCCGCATTACGCTCCTATTATCAAACATCAAGAAATGAGGACAAGGCTCGGTTGGACAATTTCATACAAATCACTGTATTTTGTCCACCCGAGCCTTAAGTTGCTGCCTTTGTTTACAGGAATGTAGGAAAGGTCTCTTAGCTTCTTTTTCAATAACCATGAACGCTATTTTACGCTCAGATAGTCAACTTTACACTCTTTTAACATTTTTTTTCAGGTATCCTGCCGCTTTACGCCTGGATAGGAAATCCATTCTGCTGGGCCTGCTACCCTCTCCGTGTCTGCGTTGTGCTTCCAGCAGGGTTCCTTTACTGTGTGCTTACTTTAGCCCCGGCGATGGGCGTGGCCATCAATCGATTGTTCAATGTGGCACCGCAGATGAAAGACGAAATGGGAACTATCGCGCAGACCATCTGGACGTTCGGCTTGTTCTTCTGGGGTATAATATTCCTAATTACGTTCCTGTATAGGTATTTATGCGGGAAGTGTATTTGCGCTATATGCTGCCCTTGTGAGAAGAAAGAGGGAGGAGAGGGTAAGGAGGGTTCAGGATGCCTTTGTTGATTGAAATATTCGAACACAAGTGTCGGAGGTAACATTTGTTTTCAGGTCGCTCTAATCTGAACTAAATTTGCTGTTTGAGGGGGACTTTTTGCGAATGCAAAGGGAAAAGTTATACTTTAATGAACTAACACACAACAATAATCTCGCAATGCTTAGGACACTTGAAATTCCTGTTTAAGAATGTTCAGTCGCGTCTGAACTGTTTGTCTGCGTTTATTATGGAATACTGTGCTAGTTTTCATAATAGAGCGCTCTTATTAACGTTACATATTTGTATTTCTTTGCCTTGGGACAGTTTCTTTGTGTTAAGTGACGCGGGTTTTAAATGGGACACATGGTGTAATGGCAAGCATGCATGCATTCGGTATGCTTACATCTTAGCAAGGTTTAGAAGCTAGAAAAATGTGGCGCTAAGTGCGACTGAGCTCCAGATGTCATTCTGTCACTAAAGCTGACACCTCTTAATTATTTTTGTTGAGTGAAAAAAAAGGGTTCATTTAAAACAAACAAACAAACAAAAAACAAAGTTTAATCCCAATAGGTCGATGACGTAATTTATTTCAGAGATTTTTCAACGCACACCACCTTCCCTAAGGCCGTCGGGATTGACCTGAATTAAACGTTCCTTGGCCATATCCAGGAGTGCATTCATGCTGACCTTCCGAGTGTCCAATTATTAAAACGTTATGCAAACTTGGAGCTTCTGATAAAGATAATAATAATAATTATGATAATTGAGTATAAAATGTACTGCTGAAGAAAGAAAAAATGCAAGTAAAGCAAATGAAAATTATAAAGCCATGGATCAATGGCTTAGACAGGTAACTATTACTAGGAGGGTCTGATCATATACGTTAAGCAAACGACAAGTGAAGTAGTTGCTGTTTTATGGCTAACAAATTAATGAAGAAAATTTTTCAGTTCAGTTCTTAGAACTACCGTGGAGATTTGTTTGTTAATACACCAATTTCGATACATAAACATTCATACTTGAAAACAAGGCTTAAGGCAATAAAACACAAGAAATTAACTATTAATTATTAATTGGTGACTCTCAAAATATATTCTTTTGTTTTATTTCCCTAAGCCTCGGAGCCAAGTATGAATTTTAATATATAATATATAATATATATAATCGAAATTGTTCTATTAGAAAATCGTTTAAAAAAGTTGTTATCTATTTGCGAAATGAGAGTCAGGAACATGCTCATTTAATGAATGTACAAGTTAAAATCATTTCAGAAATACCTTTTTTTTTATTGTTCATGCAACAGCAGTATATTTTTATATTTTAAATATTCTTTTTTTGTTCGATATTTTTTGCAGATGTAAAGCCCTATATGGGCAATATTTCATGCAATTTTGTCTCGCCATTTTGCTGCGATACAAATTGAAAAAAAAAATAGATAGTAAAGTAACAATACCTAGAATGAACATGTCTTGGAACGTTCCTGCATGTTGCCGTTAGCGTTGCCCTCTTATTAGGAAATAGTCAGGAACTACATGTACCACCCGAGGGAAAGACTGAATACGGGTGTTTTACGTACCCATCTTCCCCACCAAAAAGAAGATGGTTTCTCCATTGGCATGTTCCCCTTTTCAATACTAACAGAATGAAAGTATAAGCTAGATTTAAATGTGTAAGTGAAGTTGTTTGTCTGACACCCGAAAATAAGACTCATCAGATGGGTTGTATAGCTTCCCATCTCTTGTCAAGGTGCATTCATCGAGCATGTTTGTTTTAACAACTTCAGTCCAACAACAAAGAATCATAATATCACTTATAGCAACGTTCACTGCAACAAAAACGTATCGATACATTTCAGGGTCTGTTACACCAAGTAAATCCTCGGGGAACTTGCCTCACAATGGCGCTACAAAATTTCGAGACAAGTTGCAAAAAAAATTCTTAGTTGGTGACATTTCCTGAATTTAGCTGTTGAGATGAACCCCAAATGAATTGCTGAAATTTTCAGGAAATGAGTAAACCACCCAGAAATACACTTGGCGTGGGTTGTTTGGAAAATGCGTCTTTGAGTTATAGGCCACTCAGCTACATCCAAAAAAATGAAATAAATAAATAAAAATATAGTACAAGAAAAATTATACATAATTACAATTTATATCATCAAGACCATAAAATGAGAAATCCAGAACATAAAACGATAGCTGGAATAACATAGCCATAAAAATGTAACACCTCTATAAATCAGTATAAAAGTACTGATAATTTTTAGTTGCTGATTACAGTGGAACTCCAATATGGAGCCGGGACCTCTATAAAACTACCCAAGGGAACCCCAGTCTAACGAATGGCATTCTTGATCCCAGTTATAGTAAAACGTATGGAGCAGTATCCCTATATAATGAACTCTTCTTATAACAAACGATTTTTGCAGTCATTCAGCACTTCGTTATTTTGGAGTTCCGCTGTTAATGCGAGCGTTGTCGACTGTAGGAATCTTAGCCCTACCACAGGCTGAATCTAAGAAAACTGAGAAAGACATATACCCGACGTGGCCTTTTTACTGATCACGAAAATAAACTTTTCGTTTTGATTCATTTTTCAATGTCCCTTCTTCCAAAGTGAACGATACTGTATAAATGTGTGTTTTTATTATTTATATATTTATTTGATAAATTTCTTATCTTCTGACCGATGACGCTTGTTAGATGTTAGTTGATAAAAGTTCATAGAGAGTGGTTTTCAGTTACCACATGTCCAAGGCAGATGCAGTTACCATTCTACATGTGCTCACGGTAATAATATAAAGGAACACAAAGAAAAACCAACGCGTTTTCCGGCTTATAACTCGCCAAATATGTTACTGTATCAATTAACTTACTTTTGGCGGTAGTAATTGAAAATCACAGACTCAACTAATTTTCTCATAAAAAGAAGTTTATCGCTGTATAAGTTGTCTATGTCAATGTACACTAACTTAACAGCCTTGGAAATCAATAAAGAATTATTATTATTTTGAAAGTCATGCAGTTTTCAGTATCTTGGGGCTGTTTGGGTTTTAAACATATATACGGTTTTCACTAAGAGGCCCTAGACTCAAAATACTGTCTGACAACCTCAAAACCTTCAACAACGAGAACTTCACCAAAAATGTCCTCGCTTTGGTGAAAAGTGCATTTGAAGGTCCAGTGAAACCAGTTCATCAGTTGCCTTTTGCTCGACCAAGAAAAAAAGGTCTGTCTCACTGTTGTAACAAGCTCTTCAATTCCCATGCTTGTGCTCTCAGTAAATATGTATGGAAGACTCGAAACTAAATGTCGTTTGGCAGTCAGTTTCGGTCGCGATCTGTTGATCAATATTTCAAAAGGAAAGGTTGGTCCCATACAAAAGTGCTTCGAAATTTTATTTCCAATTACTTTTGCTATGTCCTTTTTGAAAATAAATCCACATCCTTCCTTTAAAAAAAAAGCCATACTGACTATCCATTATCATTGATTCCCGTTCACTGGCGAGTTTCAAACCACCCCCACCCCCCATTTAAACGACAGTACCCTCCCTCCCTCCCCCTCTCTCTCCTCTCCCTAAAATGCACTCTCTCTTGTGAATCAGTGAATCACGCCGATTACGGAGGCTTGTGAAGCTACAGTAAATAAGGCAAGAAGAAACGTGCAACTTTGTTTTACTACATTGCTGCAAAACGGGTTGAATAGCTTTTACCACCCACGTTCGAACCTGTCTTGCAACAAAAAGGTTGCAACCTTTTTTTTCGCTCGTGTGTGGTAAAACAGGTAACGTCGCTGTTCAAACTCGCTTTGCAGCCATGTTATAAAACAAGTTACATGTTTTTTTGTTACCCGTTTTACCCTACCTTGAATTTGAAGTGTGTTGGACAACACGACCACGTTGCAGATGGTCTTGTCTGACAATTTTGCCCGTCATGTACCTGCATTAGTGATCCGGCCCCCTAACAATGTCGTCAATCCTGTCTAACATTTTGATCATTTCAATTACACTGGCAGAAAAAAAATCAAGGCCCTACGTAGAGAGCAGAAAATTAAGTTCAACGTGGCCCAACACAGGTACCGAGTGATTGACATACGGTATACATGTAAGAAACACTGTAAATATTAATCACAGCCATCAGGATATTGCAGGGATATTGCATGGGAGAACTGGAACAAGAACGATCCGTGATTGCTTCAACTTGGGTAGCAAGTATTATGATCTCTTGGTACAAAAGTTGAGTGTTTAGAAAGTTATCACGCCTTTACGCTCTCCCCACCAATCTTCTGCAACTATACTGACCGCGATAAAAGCTTGGAGAAAGCAGCGCGATAGCGCGTCACGAATCGTGGGAGTTTCCCGCGATTCAACGCGCGCAGAGAGAAAGGAATGCGGCTGAAGGCTAGGCAGATCGAAATCTTTATATCTTATATCATATGACTTTGATGGAAAAAGACAAAAATGTTATTAAAGTCTGACTACGAAGGCTGGCTGGTTTTCAAAGCAAAACGGCTAAATGGTGTAAATAATAATGGTGTGATATATATACATTCTTTCCCTTGTGGTTCTATGACATGTAACCGATTGTGGACACAGTGATGTCACGTGCCCCAGTTGGAAAATTTGGGTGATATGTTTCAAGTTCCATTTTTTGCTCCCACCGGAGACATGAATGCTCTATAGAATGGGAAGAAATGATTTCAAAGCAGAGTATCAAGTTAAGTAAAAAGTTGCTTCTCCAAAATGTCAGAACGCCGTAACTTTTCTAAGAAGTATTTTTATTTTCATGGTAATTGATTTCAGTTACACTTGATTTCCTTCAGTTAATGCAAATGTTGACTGAAACGTAGACACACCATTTATCCTGCATTTCACGCTCTTGTGATTTCGTCGCTTTTGTCTGCATAAATTGTCAGTAACCCTATCTTGGAGACCTTGCCAAATAGTTATTGAAGTAAACAAGCAAAAATCGGATATTTTGACTTGTTTGAAGCTAACAATACTTTGAATTCTTCAGAAACTGAAGGTAAACATATTACACTTTTTTGTTTCTTCTCTTTGATATTAGTCGACGCAAGAAAGTTCTTCAACTAATGGTCTTATAAATCAGTTTGTCGAAGTGTTAGCAAATGTGGGCAGCTAAAATTTTATACAACGTGGTTCAAACAAATCTTTCAGAATTTGTAACTAATACACGCACACTAGTAAATCGAAGGAGGTTTTCTTGGTATGCGATTGGTATGCGAGGTTATTAACTTGAATTTGATTTGTGGCATAACAATACAATGTTTAAAGATGATTACTGAATATGAAATTTCAATACAGCAAGATAATCTTTTTACTGACCTATTTTTCTTTCCGCTCGGTAAGTCTTATATCACACATAGATGAGGCTAACGTCACAAGTACTGTAGAAATATTGCCCTTTTGATATGTAACTACGATGGCTGTAACCCCTCACATGCTCCAACGCGCGCGTATGGGCATAGGAACATTATCTACGTGATCGATATACATTCCTGTTCAGTTTATATTTTTAAGCCAACCTAAGTCAATCAACTTTCTTAACCTCCACTTTCTGTTGCAAATATCTGCAGATCACCATTACAAGGCCCCAGACTAACATCGGTGTGAAAATCAACAAAGAAGCGATAACTAAAGATGGCGGATCGAATCTGTGAATTCTGTATGAGTTGTTGCGGTGCAATATGTGCTGTATTTTGTCGCGAAATGACAATGAAGTGTTCATACATCATTCAATTCACCGTGTACAGTATTTTACAAGGCTACAATGTGGCATCAGATGTAGGTATGTTTATTGACGTATTCAGTGCTGTTAGGAGATGCAATGGACTTGGAGATTCACAGGCAAATGGAACAACGCAAGTCGATCCGGGAGGAACAGTTATATACTGCAGGCAACCCGGTAATTTTACATTTTCCGATCTGGACAAGCATATTCTAACGCTGGAGATTCTGCAGTGGTTCTTTCTAATTTTCGCGGGAATTGGTGGAGCACTTTACATAGCACATTTATGTACTTTGTTACCAAATTTGTGCAAACATTGCCGGGATCCCACGTTTGAGTATGACTTGGCATCACCCGACATACCAAGATATTACCGGAAAATCGTTCATATTCATACTGTATTCATGTGCCTGGAGACTTTTATTCACGATATCCCTGTATCATGTCTGGCTGTGGAGCTGAGTGTGCATTACTTCGGGCCAGGGCAGATCAACTGTTGGGAATGCGCAGCAACTGCAAGCTCTATACCTGCAGAACTTTCCCTGAAGAGAGGTAGTCTGTGGATTGGCCTGAAAATATCAGCGGTAGCATTGATAACTATTTATAAGGGTAAGATTATGGAAAAAAAAAAACGACAACCAAATAAATAAAATGATAAAATTATTGGCCCAAATTATTTATATTGCAGCCTAATTAAGTTTTGTACTAGGCACTTTTGTATTATGTAGTTTAAAAATGAACCAGTTTAACCACGTGGAAGTTTTTAAAGCGTCAATGAGGTCAGCAGTTTGTGGCGGCGCTAGTCCAGAGACATCTAGTTTAGTTTTGCAACACCAGTTACTCCTCCTCGTTTGTTGATTAATGCATCAAGGCATGTAACTGCAAACGATTTACTAGGAATTCATATGAATCCATAAAAAAAGAGCAGCTGAATATTTCGAGTTCGAGCGATCTTATAATGCAAAATGGAGTTTTGCAAGTTTTTAATGAGAGTACTGAATGAGGGAGGTACTAGATAAATCATTTATCTAGTACAAATCATTTTTTTCGTGTAATTTTGTTTTATTTGTATGGCTGTTCTGATCTGGGAAATTATTTTAATGAAAACTGTTAAAGATACTTTCTCATCATCATCAACTGTCTTTAAAGGGGCTGTGTCGAAGCTGTCATGTTTGTTGGGCTAATATTGTCAACATAGCGTCTATATTGGCGAAGGAACTGTCAGAACAGTTAACGTTAGCGAGGAATTTTTTTCCCGCAAATGATAAAATCACAGCTTCGTATCAAACAAAAATCTCTCCAGAAGCATTACATCAAACGTTACAAAAGCATTACATCAAACATCAAACAACAAAAATGAACTTTGATAAACTATTAGGCTAAAATTAAGTTTTCAAAAACTGCAGCCATGATTGTAATCAGATTCCTTCTCATTCAAGCTTGTATATTCATGCCTTCTTTTATATTTGCTTTGTTATTTGTACCTTCTTTGAATGTTTTGAGCCGTAAGTTATTGTAGTGTCTCACTCGATTTGGCTACAGCTCTCAATACTTGGATTTTGATGAATTTTGTGACCCGGCTTCATTGATCACAGCTCTCTTCCTTTTATCCACAGGAGTCCTGCCTTTGTACTTCTGGATTGGGAATCCATTTTGCTGGAGTTGTTATCCCCTGAGGTTCCTCATCGCTGCACCAGCCGGACTCGGCTTCATGGTAATGGTGCTGACTCCAAGTATGGGAATAGCAAAGTACCGGGTGATGACCAAAGTCCCGGAATTGAAATCAGTGGTAGCCGGGCCATCCGATATCATCTTCATGATTGGTCTAGTGTTCTGGGTAATACTCATCGTAGGATTTCTTTTCTGGAAGATATTTAGCAACTTTGTACTGGACCTGTGTCCTTGTTTGACATGGTGCATGGAGGATGATGACAAAAAGAAAAACAAAGAAGAGGAAAAGACAACTGGCTGTCTATGTTTTTGAGGAGGCTGTGCGTTCGTGTTTAGCCTCTAGATAGTCATATATTCATTAAGCTTTTCCATTAAAATGCCTGACAAGGCTATGGCTATGCTTACACCCCGGGGAGGGGGGCTGGGGGCGGTGGGGTACTCGATATATCCTTGGGTGGGGAGGTGCGGCCCGGCCCCTCATACCCTGACCCTGTTTAAGACAAAAATCGCTGATTTTTGATACCCTGTTTAAGACATTTAACCCGAAACCATTCCCTGTGTAAGACAATAATTTTGCTGTAGTTCAGTTCGTAGAACATACACACCGCCTGTTTATCGTCCAAGAAAAGATACCCTGTTCAAGTCAAAAATTGATAAAATCGATACCCTGATTAAGAGAAAAAATGATAAAATCGATACCCTGTTTAAGGCAAAAATCCCCAAATACATATCCTGGCTGGCCGCACGTCCCCATTTAGCCCTTATAAGGGAGTACCCCACCCCCCCCCCCCCCCCCCCCCCCCCCCCCCCCCCCCCCCCCCCCTACTTCCTGGGCTTACACTATGCCGAATAGCTTTTGCGTCGGCACTAATACCATACTGGATAGGGCTTCTGTTCACACATAAGAACGGTGATTTCGGCGCCATTTCTGAAACGGTGGGAATCTGCGCCGCGCCTGTCTCTAAAGTGGAGAGATAGGCTTTCACACTATATACCGAATAGCTTTTTGTTGGCGCGAAAAGCTTTCCTGTCTAGTGTGAATATACCCTACATCGAAACAAACTAAACCAGATTGTAACTAAAGAGAACGGCTTTGCGAAGGCGCTTCCACTTTCCTGGCCGAATTTTATGATCCTAACCGACAGTAGCAGTCTCAGGGAGCTATTACAATGGGCAAGTCTTAGAACGGGCATGAATTTAGGTTGCTGCTTGAAAGCGAAGTTTAGCCCGGGAGCAATGCCAGCTTTGAAATTGGGTGGGTAAATTTGAGGGAAATGTTTTTCGCATTCAAATCTCATGCAGAACAAAATTCTGTGATACCAAGTTTATTGGAATGAATCGGAGCTTAAAGTCGTTTCATGTGACAGATCTTCTGGACATGGATCGAGTCAAGAAGATTTGTCCAGAAAGCCGAGCTAGAAATTCAGCCCGGCTGACTGGGCTGAAATTCATCATTTATTCAGCTTCTTTTATTGAGTTTCTAATTCCGGAATGTGTACGGACAGTATTCTATTTGGAATCTAGAAGAAATCCGTACGGGACAATATCCTTTACCCCTATAGTTGAAAATTCAGGCCTTCCTGTAGTTATGCATTTGTGTGGCAATCAAACGCGTAATAATGAGACTAACGAGACGGTTATGCAGGGACGTAGAAACTGGCAACAAGTTCAGGGTTAATGAATTTTTGTTACCCGGTAACAAATTGTAATTGTCTACTAATCCAGTAGGTATATATCATAACTTTAACTTTCTGTGGCAGTGCAGGGTATTTTTTTCAATTTTTTCCATGGTTGATCATGAAAAACTATTTTTCAGAGGCATAGCTGTAGGTAGACGCCAATTGTGTTTGTGAGCTAAAAACTTTAAAAATAAGCTGCAGTTATTGCGATAAAACCACGCCTCTTGTTTAAAATGGTTTCCCCAATAATTTTAAGAAAACGGGAAGGAATAGTTAAAAAAAAATTAAATCAATCGATAAGTCAATTATTTAGGTCCTTTTTACAATTTGATTGCAAGAACTCTCATAAATTCAAATATTCTTGAGCAGGAGCCTTAAGTAAAAACTTCAGTCCCTAACTGGTTAAAAGGTGGATAATGCTATGCACTGGATAAAGTTCTATTCAGCACTAAGAACAGAACTGGTTTATAGGCGTTAGATAATGATTTCGTGGATAACGCTATCCAACGTTTGACAAACGACCCGGGCCGGGGCTTTATAAGGACGACCACTGGACAAGTTTACGATAAAAATTCTTCAATTAAACGTGGCTGTGTTATGTAGGTTTAAAAACAACTACGGCTTCAAAACATCATACTCTGGTATTGAAAAGGATGAAAAGTAGTCAGCGGTTATTACACGACTAAATCAACTATGTTAGAGAACCGGGCATTTCGCAACGGTGCAAACTGAAATGAAATAAAAGTAATTTTCTTCAGTTATCTCTGACTTTTTGGTTTCAACTAGTCCGCGAATTCATTTGGTTGCTTTAGAGTGAAAAAGTTTGAAGATTAGACGGTTATACATTAAGGCCCTCTCAAAGATTGATAACTACCCGATTAAGGCTGATGTTGAATTTTAATTAACCTGCTTTTGTGCTTAGTTAAAACAAAAAAAAAAACGTAAACGAGCGAATTTTTCTATTGCTCTTTTATTCCAGCCCGAAACAATAACCACAAAAGATACCGCTTTTGCACTCACTTAAGGTATAAATAGGTCTAATTGTAGCTCTTACGTGCAATAACCCTGGCTAAAGATGCTTTGGGTTTTTTTTAACTTAATCATGGATACATTAAAAATAATTCAAATCCATCTTTATAAGCGAAGCGAAGCTTGGGGCGAAATTTATAATGCGGAATAATTTAGCGAACTTGTTTACAGAGCTACAATAAGAATATTTATCAATTAAAACTCTACTACATTTTTATATGAGCGTGGCAAGTCTTGCGGGGTATTGTCATAACCGGCCAATCAGATCGCTTTCTTGAACAACTGCAATGACTTTTCTTTGTTCTCTACTTTGTATTATTCATAAAGGCGAATCTCTACCCTTGATCATTAAACTCGGAAGGTGGGAGTTATTTGCACCTGCTGATGGCACGAATCTCAGTTATTAACCAGTCCGGAAATTCATATTTCTTTTAAGGCCTTTAGCGGTGGGGTATATAAGTAACACTCTACTAGCAGTAGGAGAAAAAAAAAATTCTATTTTTACAGCGCCATTTGCGAGCTTTGATTCAAGTGAGAAGAAATGGCATCCGAGATTATTCAAGCAAATTCGAAGCAAAACGTAGCCCACGCGGAAAAAGCAAATTCTGGCCGTCCTAAAAGAGTTTGTACTCGCAAGTCCTATTGCGAAGAGGAGACGGACGACGAGTTTACTGCGGACGACATCAAACCATATAAAACGAAAGGTAAGTCTCCTGAAAGTGGTCTTAGATGATTGTAACTTGACCGATCTTTTTGGATGTGGTATAATAACGGCATTATCAGAAAAATTAGTCTGAAATTTATAAATATTGTGCTATGTTAACACTTGCGACATGTGTCTCACAGAGATGTGCAAATTTTATTGCTAAGAGAATGCATCCCTTGTGCATTTTCAGTTTCAGAAACAACATTCTTTGGTGCTAGTATGCAGTAGAAAAATTCTAAGAAAATAAAACACATTTTATTCTATTCAAAGATAATTGCTCTTATTTCGTGAAAAGAGCAGTGTATTCTTAAGAGAGCAGAAAAAGAAACATTTCATTCTCTTGATAGAAACTCGTCGAGGTAGAGTAACAGCAAAATGCAATTAGCTTAGCCTTTCGTCGTTGACTGCAAAGAAAAATAACAAAAACAAGGATACTACACTCCTCCATAATTATCGGATAACAATTGAATAAGAGGCTAGTATTGTCCTATATCAAGGCAAGGTTATAATTTTTCTTTTGTCAAAGTAAGTGCACATATAATATTACAAACTACATTTTGATGTGGAATAAAAAACGCTTGGATGTAAAATCGACGTGGTTTACTTGAGCAAAGCTTACTGACAAACTGTCGAAGTGTTTTAACTGAACCTTGCCACTGATAATATATATCTTCGGCAGGACTTGTTATTAATTACAAATAAATTGGTGATTAAAATAACGAATACACTGACGGTTTACGGTTTTTAAATTTTCATCTCTTGCAAAAACTAAACGCTTTTATCGCGACTATTTGACTTCCGAACATTTCCTCTATTTATGAGAAAATGTACGTTTAATCACGCACTTCTTTTCGCAAATAATGATGATTTTAAAATGCTAATTTAAAAGTGTTTAAAAGTCATTGTTCGATCGATGCAAGTGATATAACAGAAGAAAGAATCGATTAAAATACACTCGTACCTCGCGGTCCAAAGAATAGGTAATTTTCTCCGTTTATCCGTTTTCTAATTCTTCACTTGTCTTAAGAGTTTTCTCCTGCCATTTTCTAAACTTAGTTCTCTCTAACCACTTTTTATCAACAACGTCGATCTTTATGGCGTTGACAGTATAAAGCCCTCTGCCTGATTGTAAACTAAGCTCAGTTTTGCAGCTGCTTCAGTTATGAAAGGTCGATTGAAATAGTAATGTGCATGCTCAGTTTAAGTTTCAGTTTGTCATAAAGCTAAAAACGGCCCTGCTTATTTTGACTAACAGCTATATTTTAGCTGTTACAAAAGTCGTTATTCTCAAGTACAGCAATAGTCCAATTTAGCCTCTCAATATTGGCTATGTTAATTTGAATAGTAAACTGATTTTTTGCTAAAACAAGCCTTTATTCTTTTCGTCGGCTTCAAAAGATTGCAGGTCCTTACACATGACTGTGTATATTATCCAACTCATGTCCTGTTCTGAATTATTATAACTGCTCTTTTCCGAGGAAAACACCAAGCACGTTTGAGAACGTAAGTCTATAAGAACCGTGCGTGAGTCTAGGAAGTCATACTGGAATGATGACGCTATATTATCTCGGTCCCAGCCTTAGATCCTTGCTCCAAAATTCTACTAAGATAGAATACAATCATTATATATGATATTTTACCAAACAGGTCGCCATATCTCAAATCCATTCTCTGTTTTTATTAGTAGTATATTCACATGGATTTGTCTCTTATAATGGCTGCTACGAAAACTACACTCTTTAGTTGTAAATCTTGGAGTAAACTGTGTAGATATTCACTCTTCTATATATGTGTAAAGCCATATTGAAGTAAAAGCTGTAACATTACATTACGGAGCTAGTCGCTGATTTTTTTCTGTTCACCTTAATAGAACAAGCTTGTGTTACGCTTTTGTCTACAAGGGTGAACAGAAAAATGTCAGCGAGTGATATCAGATGAAAACCACCAGGTATTTTCGACCAGGTTTGAGTTATTTTTTCATTATTGTTATTCACCT